GAAAGTTCCTCCTCCATTGCCTGCCGCCACCCAGGTGAACTAAGAGCTTCTTGGACATTGTTAGGTATGGAAATAGAGGACAAAAGTGAAACAAACTGGCGATGTGAGGTAGAAAGACGAGATAATGAAACAAAATTGGAAATGGGATAGAGGGTAGAACTGCGTTTACCTTTCCGTAAGGCAATGGGTAGGTCAAGGTCTAAGGGTTCAGCAACAAGAGCCATGACAGGATCCGCAGATGAGGTAGAAGCTGGAGGAGCCGGTGTCGTTCGACGTGTATACACTTGCCGAATCAGTGGTCGTTCAGTGGTGATCTGCACTGGATGAGGTGATGAGTCTACTCCAACAGCAGCATCTGGAACTGGGTCACTGACAGGAAGAGGAAGAGGAAGTAAGGGTGGAGACGAAGGTGCTTCAGGTCTTGAGAAGAAGGGGACAAACTCAAAAAAAGTGACATCAGGGCAGACATAGCACTTTCGAATAATGGGATTATAACACTTGTATCATTTTTGAGTCCGAGAGTAGCCAAGAAAGACACATTTAATGGAGCGTGCATCTAGCTTGTCTATTCCAGGACTCAAATTGTGGACAAAGCACACACAACCAAAGACACGAGAAGTTAATGGAAATGGAGATAAAGTGGGTAACAAGATAGAGAAGGGGGACCAACCATGAAGAATGAAAGAGGGCATCCGATTAATGAGGAAACATGCAGTGAGTACAGCATCACTCCAAAACCGTTTAGGAACATTCATRTGRTGAAGAAYAGACYGAGCAGTTTCAAGRAGCTGACGGTTCTTYCGTTCAGCYACCCCATTTTGTTGAGGAGTGAATGCACATGAGGTTTGATGAATAATGCCATGTTGTTCTAAATACTGTTGAAATGAAGTAAGAAAGTATTCACGACCATTATCTGAACGGAGAACTTTGATTGGAACACCAAATTGTGTACGTATTTCAGCATGGAATTTTTGAAAAATGGAAAATAATTCACTCATTTCTTTCATTAAGTAAATCCATGTCATTCTTGAACAATCGTCAATAAAAGAGACAAAATACTTGTACCCATTATAAGACTCTATTTTGATTGGGCCCCAAACATCTGAATGAACCAAAGAAAAATGACTCAACATACGACTCTCAACTCTAGGACTGAAAAAAAACACGACGATGTTTCCCAAACTGACATGACTCACATTGC